GACGACGGCCATATTTGATTTGATAAATACAGTTAATGTAGAAGGGGAAACCCAAAATGTTTCTACAAATATTTCACCAGGAACAAGTTACAGGCACAAAAAAGTTATCAGATTGTTTGATCACATTATTTACATGTGCACCATGAATTGCTACTTATTTATTTTCACCAGCATTTTAATATCAATGGCAGGTTTTGAAACGATTTCATTCAATAATGCGTGACATTTCGAGCAACCGAGCAGAACAAACTGGAGGCACCGTACAGGCGGTTGATTGATTGATTGATAGAATACAAGTGAATAGAATCAATGGAATTGTAGATTCAGCAAGTCGTCACAGCTGAATGGTTTTGCTAATGATAATAAGGTGTCCTTCAGTGTGGACGAAACAGCTGCTAGTTGTCATCAGCGTAACCACTTCATGAAACAACAATTGATTTAGGGTTCACTTCAGATTGAAAAATGAATACAGGGTGAGTTTAAAAAAATGAAACCCAAATGGCAGGGTAAATTTTTGAATGAAGTTTTGCCTGTAGCACTTTCAAAATATGAAAGCCCCATCAATGAGCTTTCTTTTAGTACAAGAATCATTCAAATCACTCATGTACTTTTCAAGTTACGGAATTTTGAACACAAACACCGTTTTAAAGTTCTGTCCATGGATCTCAAAAAAGTAAGTGTTCTTTCAGCAAAACGAAAACAATTCACAATTTCACATGCATCCCTATGAGAATTGAATTGAAACTTCATTCAAAAATTGGTCCTGCCATTTGGGTTTCGGTTTTGTTTACTCACCCAGTGGAAGAGACCTATCTTTAATTTCTGATATTCTGCAACCATATTTCACTACAGTTCTGGAATTGCAGTCCAGTGGTCTGGGGTTCTATTCACCATTTAAAGTCATTTCACTTTTACAATGAAAACGATGCACGTTTTGTTTGTAGAAAGTTGTAGGTTCAAGTCATAACTACAAACAAATCCTTGCTCATAAAGTTTATTTATACGATTTCATTCATCTAACTTCAAATATGTAATTATGTTGTGTATAATATGTAGTTTCTTTAAATAGGCCTATAGTTTGTGAAAGTAATACAAAAATGGGGTTTGTTTTTACCCTATTAATGTGTGTGTGTAATTCATAATATGAACACTCATTCTGTATTCACTATGTGTTAAGTAACTTTCATTTATCAAAGGTGCTTGCCAATTTTATACCCTATATAATGTAAATATTTTACCCCAAACATGTGCAAATATAGTTTTGCTGGTCGGGTTTACAATGATTAAACTTAAAACTTGGTTTTAGCAAATTTGTATTCACATCTATGAGCCAAAAAAAAGTAAATAAAAATCTGTTGTATATTGTGTCAAAGCTTGACAATCAGTTGAACAAGTGGATTTTTCTTCCATTAATTAATTACTACAGTAACAGGTGCAGCAGTATTTCAGTGTCTACAGTTATTTGAACACAAGATCAGTCTTAAAGTGCAGACTAATTTGATGATTGATGGAAGGACAGTTCAATTCCTATTTGATATCATCACTCCATTTCAGTCCTACTAATGACACCAGGAGCAATTGTACAATATTCAGAAGGCATCATTAACACAAAGAGATCCCTTAATCATTAATGACACAGACCTGGGCATTCGATGAAAAAGAGCGTCAACAATTCATGACATACTGAATACAATGTCTGACATCAGTTTGGCCTACCCTTATCTATGATTGCTCCTGCGCATTTCAATTTATTTCATGATTTGTTATTATTTTACTTGGTTTTTTTTGCAAATGCTTTCTGAAAATTGAACTTACAAGTAAGCCTTAGTTTTTTGCAGAAGTAATAATTACCAAGTGATAAACAACAAACAAATTCACAAAAACTTAAGCAGCTTACAAAAATTAACCCAAATCCACTTGCCACTTTATCACAACATAGTTTTTATTTCCAAAAATGAACTCGGAAGTAAGTGTTTTTATTAAGAAATAGTTAATATCAAGTGATAAACAACAAATAAACTTACAAAACCTCAAACTGCCAACAAAATAACCAAAATCCACCTGCCACTTATCACAATACCCATGAAAACTTTCAATTGATCACCCCTAATGCAAATGAAAAGTTGACCAGCCAACAAGAATCGCTGCAATTTTTCTACCATCTTCAAACTTGATGTTTTTTGCTCAAACAATCTTTACAACAAATGCCAAATGAAGAAAGTCTGAAACATGCAGGGAAAAGTACCAGACTTAGATGTACTGTGATTCAGCGCTATCTGAAATTTGACATTGTCAACTTTAACTACACTTGAACATTGTTCGACCCTTTCATACAACCTCCATAACTTTACAGCACTGATTATTCACCAAGATTTGTTATTCCGGAGAAACTTCCGGACTGCGTGACGCGGACTTACAGAGCCCTGCACTCTTCAACTGACGCACACAAAAGAAATGGGTTAGGAAAACAGCAGATTGCTGGAGAAAGAGTCTACGTTCCATGGCACAGAGCCTGCGACCTTTGACTTCGATCTCACAGGGATCAAAGTGACTCATTTATACAATCTCTTGCAGGATCAAGGTCTAATTTGTTTGGGCCCAGGCCAAACTTTCGGTTTGGCACACAGATAAAAAATCTCAGTCATAAAAGCTGTGTTTTTTCCAGCATCTTTACAAATTTGGAATCAGGAAGATTAAGCTTCAAGGGACGTGAAGAATGTATAGTTAAAAAAAATTACAAGCAATGCATTAAAAAAGTGAGTTTGCTGATTTACTCCACAATTAATGTTTTGAGGTATTTTTTTTTTTCCATTTGGTACTCTTTAGGGATATTTTAATTTGCACTCTTATCTGTATACAAAAATTGGGGTCAATTTTGGAAATATGAATGATAGAACTTCAAAACAAAAAGAATGACACTGTTAAGTTGTGAGACTTTCAGGAAAATTGAGACTTTATTTTTTAATAGCAAAAAAAAAAATTGTCAGTTTTGAAAAGAAGGCCTGACTACACAGAAGCATGCCTGAACTAGTTCCTGTACCTAATCAAAAGATTCCATTAAGATCTGGTTGGCAAACATCGTCTGGAGATAATAGAGGAATCCTTCCCCTAGCGTCTTCCTCGGAAACACTTTTTCCTCCTCTTTCATCTGGGATCATTTCTCCACACTGTTTGCTTTCTCAAGGCACTCTTAAGTAATTGTCTCCATCCTTCCCCCTTCGTAATCACTTCTGCTTTTTCGCTCCTTAAGGCACTCGTCACATAAGTCGCTTACTTAAAATACTTTCTCGATTTTGCAGACAGATTGCAAAATCCCCCGCCACTAATTTCTGTCTGCGACCAAAAGTTGTGACTAAATTTGTATCTGATCAAGAAGAATTCCAATTCCTGTTTATAATCCATTGCCCTGAGCTGTTGCCATGGAAACAGCCAATTATGACAAACAAATTACATCTGCAGATGCCCGTCAAATGACACTGATGGATGCCCTCAAGTAAGCAGTCATCAACGCGTTATTTCTCAGGAATTGAGAAAAACAGGAAATTAAATACAAAATTGGCTCGGGATAAATTCCAACATATAAGCGATAATTTTTCCATATGACATCCTGTAACCCTTTGCAATCAATGAGACAGGTGTAGATGTGATTATGTGATGATGTAGTTGCCAAATAAGGAAAAAATATCTAAGACGCGCATTTAAGACAAGGGTTTCTGTGATGCATGAAAAATGTAAAAGTTTAAGAAACGATGCCATCTCTATATGAGTGGGTCAAATCAAAGAGCTAATAATCAAACAACGAACAGGAAACTGAGTTATCTTTCGGAACAGGGCAAGATGAGTTTTGAATAATTAAGCATTTGAACGACAGCAAGGATGTCAAATAGTTGGCTTCTTAGAAGCGATGAGTTGAAAGATGCACACTATTTGGTCAGTCAATCTAACTACCGGTAGATATCTCTCAAATGACGTGACTGCCTGCCTATAGATTGTCACGTGCATCAGCATCTTGGGAGGCAGATCGATGCGCATCAGCTATGCTGTGTTTCGAAGCAACATGCGCATGCGTTAAGAACATTTTGCACACTGCGCGCACACGTGCCTGATGGCATTTAATACACAGTTGTTATTTGCCTACAAAGATGGCTGGCTGTGAGAGGGGTGTATGTGGCCATGTACATTGGAAGACATTTCGAAGAAAGACTTCAGAAAGGACGCGGATTAAAGAAGAGAACACAAAAACAATAAAGTAGATCATATAACAGTATACATGTACTTAAAATATGACTCATGAGCAAGATACATTCAGTATCATTGTCGTAATAAATTGCTATTTTTGGAGTGCTGCTTTAATTTTGGAGTGCTCCTTTAAAAGCATGAACCAATCAAATGCAGTCCGTGAGCTAAGTGTTGATGCAACATGTGCATCCACAACTGTAAGTCTTGGAAAGTTGGAGTGCCCCTTTAAGACATCCTAGCTACTATACCTCCATATAATGATATATGGAGCAAGGAAACAGCATATGAAGTCACATGAAATCAATAAAAAGAAATGAAAAAAACTGGAGAATGAAAAATTAAATTACATTCAGTAGTTTGGACAACATGATATTTTAAGACTTATAATGCATACAATATGCCCCTTTAAAATTTAAGATCTGCACCGGGTTGCTTTTCATGATATTTCGCATTTTAACAGGAGTGAATTTAAGAAGTCAAGTTACTCTTTCAATGAAACTTAATCCATGAACACAAACTTTTTGAATGAATTTTACAGAAGAAAAATTGCCAATTCAGTTCACAACTGAAGTGCCCCTTTAAAATCTTTTGTGTGTACCAGACTTGGTCCCAACAGTTCGATATGACCCCGTAGGCCAGGCTAGTCCCAAAAAAGATTAACTCAGACTGCGCACACTGTCAATACAAAACGTGGGATTGTACATGTATGGTTGAACGATCCCCGTGCGCGGTCTTATGGTCACACAAAACAATTACACACTATAGGGCGGCTGTGCACACAATACAGCCTAGCCAGACTGCATGTGTGCATTCACTTCGACAGGAAGTCACTCACCTGTTTTTTCGAAGATTTCGGGGCACAAATCTCTCGACCACAAATCCTCTACCAATTTGCATAACTGTGCAGTGAGTTCACACGCTGTGCGAGTGTGTGTGTAGTGATTGCATGTACTTTGTGCGCTATGAATTCCCTCCGTTTTTCGGTGGACAAAGTTTGTGGTTTGGGTCTCAGTTTGTGATCGTACCAAGCAAGTCAGAGTGCAAGTTGGACCACTAAAATAAGCTTTTTATGGATGCAAGGCGACTGCTTTTTTGAGTTGGTAAGTATATTTTTTATTGTGTCTATCACTAGTCTATATGGTCTGATCATGGAGCTATATGAACAGGGTACTGTGGTAGTACTGAAAGTTTCAACAAAATAGTGACTGTATGCAGTTTCAAAGCATTGGAATATTGGGTGCTTTAGCAATTTTGCAATACCTTTTATTTTTAGCATGGGAATTTTTTGGAAAAATAGTCAGGCCCAATATGTAATTTCGTTCACATTTGTGGGGATTAGCAAAACTATACATTTTTTTGGAATTTGTATATTCAGTTATACTGTTTTTTTTTTTATACTGAATTTTGTATTTTCAGTTATACTGTTTCCTGAATTTTAACTTTATTCAGTTTTATCATGTTCAGTTTTTATTTAAATTCACAACTTGTTTAAAAATAAAAACGTGTTTTGTACATGATCATTGTTCAAGTTCAACCAGCCCTGTGATCTTTTAATAGCACAGTGAAAGGAAAAAATTATGAGGTTTGAAAATAACGTATCGTCACTTATATCTAACGGATGTAGACACAAGTGATGTGAATGGTTTTGAGATCGCTTTGAGACAAATGTCTTGTGCTACTTCCTACATTCCTGCACTTTTCTTTCAAAAATTCCTAGAATTTCGTTCAAATAAATTCAAGCTTTCTTGGATTGAATGATTATTTGATAGAATGAGAAGGATTTAAAGACAACTTACTTAAAAATATATTCAATGCAGAAGACAAATTAATGACTTAAGACTTGTAGCTTTACTTCTACTCTGCAAGATTAATTTAAAATGTTACAAAAATAACTTCACTACACTCTCGCAAACAATGTATTTGATGGGTTTTTTTTTAATCTAAAACAAAAATATATCAAACAGCCTCAAAATGTGGCTTCACATTTAGTTTAGACTTGATATGCCCAGTCAACAATTTATGCACACAGCTTCCTGCAATGTTGTTTTAATTAGAGTACGTGTTAATCTTAGCCAAGATGTCTAATGAATTATTCTCTTATTACTCTTCCGTGTCCTCAGGCGGCAGTGTGGATACATTCCTGGAATTGCTTGCCTCCAGGCCATCGAACTCTCAAGGCAGGAAACGATAACCGAAGAAATCATAAATTGACGATGCGGGACGAGTTGTCGTTAACGTCCAGGGACCCGCCTGCACCTTGATCTCTCAGGGATGTGGACGATTTTGATGGATTACTAAGAAGGGTATCGTCAGCACTTGCACATCTCAATTTCTGTTTGTCGTTCGTCTTGGAATAGCCTACTCGGAATGTCTCTCATGGAAACACATCATCGCTGTGCTGTATCCTCGCAGTTGGAATAAACAATATCCGGCCAAGATTTTGTTTACAAAACGCTGGTGTATGAAGCTGTTCTTAATCTTTGCTTTGAGACGCTGGAGATAAGAATCGGCGGACTTAAATAGCTGGAGTTATTGATGGGAATCTGTCAGACTCAATCGATGGAGTACTTTGATTTCTACTGAGTGGACATAGTGCTATGGGACAGCACTGCTTATTATCACAGCACTCTTACGGTGACATACATGCTTCAAGCTTCATCTGATGTGCAACCGTACTGTGACTTTACAACGTCCTGTCTGAGTGGAAATTTAAGAATTCACGAATAGGGGAGTTAAGTTGGATTTTGTAAGTAATTATTATTAACAAGTTCTTAGTCCGCCACTGGGAAAGAGAGGATTTGACACTTGCTTAGAACTCATGCATACAAATTAATTTTCTTGATTGCGGCTTTACATGTGAATGGATTGGATGTTGCAAAGTTTGGAGTGAAATTACTTCAAGTGTAAGAGACTCGTTTGGAATCTTTTGTGGACGGATCTCAAAATCTCGTTGTCAGTCCCTTTATAGATTGGGAGAAGAAATAATGAGAATTATTTCATAGAATCATCAGAAATCGAAGCATCATGGAAAGACACAAATTCGGCATGGAGAACTTGCATCTCAATTATTTTGTTGTTGTTTTGAGTGCCTGGTGCATCCTTGCGCAAACGGCAGATGCTTCGTCGAATGTGTCATTTGTCATGGAGCCGACCAACGTTTGTCTGTATTTTTATTCCACGCCCGTGCCTCCGCCAGTGTTCTATTGCAAGGTGGATGGATTAACGGAGGAAATGGATGTAGCCTGGCTTCGTAATGAGTCCCGATCCCCGATGAACCGAGAGTACGAGTTTGGAGATTTTGCTTTGACAGGTAATCAGACTGAGGGCGTTTACGATCTCAAGATTCAACGGAGAATTACACGCAACGATGACCGAAGCAGGTACTCTTGTGCTGTTTACCTGGTCACCAATTCGTCTGACCAGTCAGATTGGACTTTGTTACAAGAATCACAGGTAGCAAAATTGAGGGTGAATTTTTTCGTGCCCGAGCCGAGGTATCCAGAATGCTCCATCAGTGTGCCTGGACTCTCGTCGTCCTCGTCGTCTTTGGTAGAAACAGCAGCGTATAAGGATGGCATGGGCTTTACCGTCAAGTGCTGTTCTGAGACTGTGAATCCCGAGTTGGAGTTGGTCTGGTTCAGGGAGAACCAAAAAGGACTAACAGAACTGGTCGGGAGAAACGCGTCGCGCAAAACTGAAAAAGACCAGAACGTGTGTCTTAGCTACGATGTCTCGGATCATCAGATTGGCGATACATACAGCTGTCGCCTCACCATCCCAAAAGTGCAAGTCAAAACCTTGTGTAGGAGGGAATCAAAGGTTTCGAATACGACAGTGTGGTATGATGAGCAGAGACGCAGATGTAGCTTTCGAGACCGAGGCATCAATCTCATCCAGCAGAACTCGGCCAATGTTGAGCACGATGCGACGTTCACCTGTTACTCCAAGGGAGCCATCGAATACCTCTGGCAGTTCTCTCCCAGACTGGACCGAAACAAGAATCAGTACCACGTGAGCAAGGATGGAGCCACGGTCCTACTCAACTTGGACAGTCTTGACGACATTCAGTACAACATCACCTGTACGGCTATTGGAGAAAGCAGCATTGGATCGCGTTCCCTCATCGTCCAGATTAGTCAATCAGATCCCACCTTGCAGAACGTCATACAGATCGTGGCCATTACTCTAGGAGTTCTAGTGGTCCTAGTCATGATCCTCCTAGTTTCCTACGTCGTCAAGACCAGAGTCTTAGATCAATGCAAAGATAACCATGCAAGAGGCCTGAGCCCCCAGGAGATGAGAGCTAGGATTCAAATTCGTCGCAACATTGCCGGAAACGGCGGAGGATTGTACGCATATCCGTCCTCACGGATGACCCATTCGAGCATCACGCCTTTGATGGAAGGTCCGGAGGATTCAGGGAGTACCATCGAGCACGAGCGACCACCGAGCCCTATTCCACCTCCCCCAGGGATGATGAGACCTGGGTTTACCCGTCAACCAAAACCGGTGCAAGGAGCAGTAGGTGGCATCATCTTAGACGAAGACGAGATGGTGGAGTGCGAATACCGAGATGAATCAGAAGAGGAGGAGTTGGAATTAGACCCGAAGAGCATGAACGTGGAAGGGCTGCAGTATGCCGATTTGGAATTCAGCGATGATGAGGAATTTGTCCAAGACCCCGATGATCAGGATGATTCTGAATCAGGAGACGAAGAAGGGGCCAAAAAGAACAATGGTGCCCCCGTGGTGAAACCCAAAATAGACTATGCCAATATTGTGCATTTTGACCCACGTAGGAACAGTGACCCACGTCGGGATAGCGAATCACGTCAGAACAGCGAATCACGCTGGAACAGTGCTGATCCTTGGAGAAAGAACACCATATAAGAAGAAATGTAGAACTTTGTAACAGTTTTGGTCAACCCTTGCTGGAATTCTGATCTGGTAGGATTGTGTTGCTCTATCTTGTGTCGAGCTAAGCAACTATGTACATAAATTCAAAACAATGCTGTACTACTCAGAAAATGTCATTCAACTCATTTTCACATATAATATTCAATGAAATAATCAGTACTCGTTTGTATCGTGTATTTACTTTCATCTCTTAATCTTATAAATTCATTTTCAAAGTTGAGGGACTTGAGAAACTGAGGGCAGTGCCTTTTTAGAATTTAAAACTGTACATAAGTGGCTCAGAAACTTTGGCTTCACTGTCGCATCTGGCTAGAGTGAAGCTGTTTAAAATATTGGCCACAGAAATCCAAATGACAGAACCATGAATGTCGTATCATACTTTCATTTTTTTCAATTTTTTTAACTTATTTTATGCTTAGCTGATTTCTGGTCTTAAAAATTGGATTCTTTGGAAAGGGGGGAAGTAGAACCGTCTTTCTTTTCCAAAACATATCCAGCATAAACTGTCTGTTGAAACATGTCTCTCAATCTGAAGAATTCGTCCAATGTCATGAAAAATTTACTGTATGAAAAAGATCGAGGACGATAAACTTAGCTCACAAAATGTCAAAAAGTAATTTTCAAAACAATATGAAATCTGTTGAAAGTAATCATTGAGGATAATCAAGTGTATTATGTCTGTACTTGTCTTCCAAGAACTAATTCAATTATGTCAACTCAAACCATGTACATTTGCCCACTCATTTCCGCTGGGCAAGCCTCATTACAATAATTTGGGTCTTTTGTGACTACATGTACCTGATGTTGTTCAGTGTACCTGTCTGGCGCCCTCTTGTGACTGACTTGATCTCAAGGCCAGACTAAAATCCGAGTCACAAAAGCATAACCACCTTGAAGCTCAATTGTAATTGGATAATGTGTTGCCTTGCCTTGGTATTGCCTACTTATGTATAGTGCGCCCTCTTTTGACTTCTGAAAGGACTTGGCAGTCATGATTAATGATACGCAAATTTTTCTTTGGGTTTTTTTTTTTAATTGAAAAGTAGTGTATATTGGCTTGAAGTTTACTTTCAAGGTGTGTTTGCAAGGTGTATGTATCAGCTCATGTATTTTTAGGCTTAAGTAACACGCCAAAGGCTTAGTATTTTAAAAGGTAATATTTTTTTTCATTCATTTTTTTTCAAAACTGAACAATAACTTGCCTGTATTCGATACAGTTTTGCATAGTGTTTATCTTAAAAAGTACAGACTTACACATTGTGATATATGTAGTTAATGTAGTATTAATATTTTATATTCTGATGGCAGATGTCAATTCAACAAACTTAACTATAGTCTTTTAGAATGTTTACTGGCAATATTTTTTTGTATTTTAATGCTGATTGCAGACCGGCAAAAGATCAAAAGTGTTCACATTCACACACTAAAGTTTTCATAAAAGCCTTTCAGAAAGTCTGAAATTCTAAACATCTCATTCTATATTCTTATTTAGAGAAAAAAATCTTACTTTTTCTAAAAAAAAAAAAATGCCTTGATATGTACAGTTTGGCTGTAAATAATGAACACCTTTAAAATCATCTTTACCAAAAAAGTACTTAACAAACCACATTAAAAAACTTAAAACTTGTGTGGTTTTGTAAAACATTAAGTTGGATTGTAAGCCACTAGTGTAGTACTTAGAATGTGATTCCCAAACAAAGTACAATTTGAATAACAAGTACTACCAAAACCTTATTTTGATAATTTATGAAGTCTGGGGGAAATACGTTTTTATGATTTCTACCAGAAATATGTGCTTAAACAATTCAATTATTTATTAAAGTCATCATATCGATTCATGATCCAAAAAATAATTGATGAAATATTGTATTCTTAAGTTTGTATGTTCCCCATATTTAAACATTAAAACATTCACATATTTAAAAACAGGAAAAAATGGAAAAGCAAATATTGGTATTACTTTAGAAAACTAGAAATTTTATATTGTGAGGAGGAGAGTAATATGTTATGAATCTCTATAGTAGTTTCTGTTTTAAGAACAAACTGAACGGAAACATGGAGTGATGCCTTTCTGGGTCAATGCGGGAGGGGTGACACCGGAGGGGGGGAGGGGGAAGGAAACGCTGTCATAACGTGATGATGAAGCATCATCCTGTCCTATTTTTTTTTGACTCTGTGATTGTTGGATTGCCCTTAACCCTAACCCCTCGATATTTTTCTTTTACCAAGAAGTTTAAGTATTAAACTTCTTGAATCTTCCTTCGAAATGTCTTGGTAGA